AAATGACGCGTGATTATGATTTATTTTTCAGAAATACTTTCAAGTATTTGAATAAAAAAATATATATATCTATAAAAGTTTTTATCAATAAAACAGTATTGTTTAAATAAATACAACTATTGGAACGTTTAATAAACTAGTCATACTCTTTAAGTAAATGATTATAAATTAGATGAATTAAAATTATAGTTTACATTTTCTTTTATGTGTGTTAACATTATTGATGACTGTATCTTTTACTTCAAAACAATAGTATATCGAATCTCTATTAAAGTATTATAAATCTTTATGCTTCATACATAGAACACGTTTTTAGTATAGGTAAAATAAATGTATGTACATTGCCGCCATTGTTTGTTGCTTACACTCATAGTTTACGTTAGCATCGATAGTAAATTAAGTTAAATAAGAAGAAACCTAATCTATTAATATTATATCATCAATACGTTTTATCGTAATTTTGTAATAAATTCCTTCCAATGTGATCACAAAGTACATTTTTAATACGTGTAAAACAGTGAATGTAAGTGGATGGTATATGAAAAATGTATGCAATTTGCCATAATTTAAACATTTTCGTAGGTTTTCATATCTATGAATTTGTTCTTATCTCTGGGACACTAATAGAAGTGACAGAAATAATGTAATTTATATTTATGTATCAAGCAACCTTGGAATTTCTATACATATTAAAAAATTTACTATGATCATACAGAAAACACATTCCATTATGCAACAAATTTTGGTTAAGATATGCTTAAGCCATTACAACATACTGTAATAAAACGAAACTCAAGAGTCTTATATTTATTAATTACTAGTAAGCATAAAAATCAATATTGAATAACTTGCATTATTAAGGAATGCAATTTGAGCACTTTTTAATTTATAAAACGTATTGTAGCTAATATATTATGTTCCTACTCATAATGTTATTGTGTGTATATTATGTGTATACAAACTCCTAATAATAAATGAATGCTTATATACTTTGTTTTGTACAGAGTTTTGATTGCTTATTAACAGAGGCAGTATTCAGTCATTCAATTATTAACTTAAAATTAATATAATTATAAAAGACTAATAAATTACAATCTGTTGCATATAATTAGACACTGGAGAGCAAGTTATTCTCAGTTTGTTTAAAATGATGTTCTGATGTATTGATAAGTATCAATATAGGTGGCAGTGGATAATAATAAATAAACATTCTTTATACAGTTTGAAGTATACCTATTGTAAAACAATTGGTCTAAAAAATTTGTTTTCAAGCATATTACTTCAAAAAACATTCTAAAATACATATAATGCAAACCAATTCATTTATATAAAACTAAATATGCGTTATTTTCAAGTATTTTGAGCTTGCATTTGTTCTTCTAAAGCTGCTTGAGTTTGTTGAACTTCTGCTATTCTCTTTTGTACGATAGCAGGCTGTAATTCCATAAATATTTCCATTGTTTTTTGATTTGCACGAATATGCTTGTCTGCACATTTTCTCACACAGACTTCCTATAAAATGACAAAGTTAGAAAAAAACATTATTATTGCAAAGAATACTTTCTTGCAGGGGAACGTGTATGAGAATTTATAATAACTAAGTCAGTTTTTCATGAACTTAAACAATAATATATTACAAGTAACTTATATTTATATGAATATACCTCCTCTGCAGAAATGTTCCTTGACATAAATGTGTTCGTACAGCGTTGGAAACATGCTTCAGATATTTGATTATACAGAAGTATAAAATCCTTATACTACAAAATAACAACATTTACCAATACGCACAGTAATATGGGAATAGGTTAGAAATTAATATTTAATTATTCAATAGAAAATATTAACAGTACGTACATTTCTTATTTGTACACCATCCATAATCTAAATTCCTATTTTCAAATTAACTGACACTTTCAGAATATATTAATATTTGCGGTTCCTATTTTTATTAGGTTATAATATTTCCTTCAAATTTCCAGCGATATAATCTTCACTATCGATCAACGATACAAGCTACTCAGTATCGATTCCGTTGCACATCGAAGAAAACATAATCAGCCAACTTCAATTAACTCAGTTAAAAATTCAATTACTCAGAGGAATAAATAACTAAAATCGCAATAATCAATAAAAATATAATCCATATAACAAAACCCCGCTCGTTTCTCACACAAAATAACCATTACACCAGAACCGGAATACCCACATAATCATCATAAATTCTAAATCGAACGCATCGACGAAAACCAAAATTCTCAATATAACAAAAAAACCTTTAATCCGAGTACAATTTATCATATACTAATATTTCTATCGGTATCTCCTTATTCCCTGCGAATACAGTAATCAATCGAACAAACTCCAACCTACAGAATATTCCAAAAACCAACGCACATTGTATCCATACATGTGTCATCGTTAACCGTCATTCAAAATCTGTACACGAATATTTTTTAATCATTCCATCCTCATAACAGGCGTCGTTTCCGGACGTATCGGTGCGGATTCCGTCCGACGGAAGAAAAGCGCGTTTTCGTCGGGGCGGTTCGGAGGCGGTCGGCTCGGACCGGATCGAACGGTTCGCGATTGGTCGCGGGCTGCGAGTCAGCGAAACGTGAATCAGTCGTCGTTGACGGGAACCAGGAGCGACGAGTTCTCGAGTCAGGGCCGGTGTGGAAAACGTGCGAGGTCGGTCGGTGCTCGGTCGCCGGTGAATGAAGCGGTTCGATTGTTACGTGCGATGGCCGCGTGTTACAGCGAGCAGGCATCATCCGCCTCGGGGAACATAACGAAAAAGTCACCTGCGGCTACCGCGAAACCGATCTGCTGGCAACACAGGCTGTTCGGTAAACAATTGTCGCGGTGCAGTCAGGTTAATCAGCAGGACACGAAACCGTGCGACGCGAGCGGCTCCCTCGTCGACGAGGAGGGCCGGCCGATTTGTGAGGTGATCGGTGTGTACTTTAGTTTCATTAATCCCGGTGCTACGTGCGACGATTTCACGCGTCAGCTGCTCGAACTGTACGCGAGTGTCAACGCGTCGTCGTCGTCGTCGTCGTCGTCGTCGCACACGGAGAACGACCGGGACGCCGAGAACCCCGGCAAGGAAAGAGAAAGAAGGAAAAAGTTCGAGATCGTGCACGTGGTTTTATGGAGTAACGTAGCCGACGTGCTCGACTTCGAGGAAAGCTTTCACGCGCACGTTGCCGAGTTACCCTGGCTGGCCGTACCGAACTTAGACTACGAGAGGAAGGTAAGCCCGTGATCGGTTACTTCTTTCCACGACGGTTTATCTTTTGATAAGTTTCCCAACTGCCAGTTTCAAATAGTCTTCGATAATTATCGTTACGGGCTGCGAATTCTGTTTTTGTATCGGTAAGCTGTACTTTACGCTATAGCGTGACAAGCGTCGTAGGATCTGTTGGGTTTTCATTGTTTTTGTTCAGTCTTACGTTAATCGCTGGTTAGGAAGTATTAATTAAAATTAAAAACTATGATTTTCACAATATTCTTATTCGACTTTATTTTAATTAGTACTTCATAACTAGTGATTAACGCAATTGAATAAAAACAATGAAAACTCAACTTATCCTGTTTATTTGATTTCCACGGTATTCTAATTTCAATCTTTTCGTTGTCCTCTTGGTTGACCTTATATCTTTGAGAAAAGGGAAATCTAATGTAGTTTATAATTGTTCAAGTTGCAAATATATATTCAGTTACCGACGCGAGGGTTAAATGTGTGACAATGAAATATAATATCAGAATGTAATTAAGATATTGCCGCGCTATCGTCGGACGACCGGATGTCGGATTTCCCGTTTTCAGTTGCGTTACATCTACCCATGAGCGTTGTAAACAGGACCGAATATTAACACTATTTCTACCGAAGATGCTAAAAGTCACCCTTTGAAATTTGAACTTACAATTATTTTCCTAATTGACTTCTCGACTTTTTCAATAAAGATTATACAATTAAGTATAGGAAATGTCCAAAATTCCATTGAGGAAAAATGATTAGACTGAGAAAATAATTTTAACCCTTTGCACTCGAGAGGTGACTCTCAGTCACCATTCGATTTGATTCAGCAAAATTATAAAATTTGATATTTAATATTGAACTATGTGTAAAAAAGCTTTGTTTCTCAATTTACCTGTGATTTCTCTTTGAATTCATTTCAAAAAACATCGTTTTTGTCTAGTTAGAAAATATTAAGTATTTAGTGTCTGTTGACACCTTCCGTAGAAATAGTGTTAAATTATTCCAGTATATTATTTTCCTGTGGAATTTTCAAACAATTTTCCGATCGCATAAGAATATTTCTAACACAAGAACGATCGAGATTTCTCTATCGTCAGCATAACCATTAGCGAATTGTAAGAGAACTAATATCAAAAGAGTCTCGCGCGTACGTCTCGTTCAACTGACAGCGTCAACATAGCGCTTGGCGACTCTCACACGCCCAACTGATTCGTGCCGCTCGGCCCGTACGCCCGTTCGAGCGCAAACGGAAAGAATTTATTACTTATACACCAGCGTCTCGCAACGGCATCGATTTAATTAAAAAGCGAAATTGCGCTTCAGAGCGCGGCTCACATAATTAATCCCCTTTAATCCCCTTCTGACGAAATGAGGGAAACGAAAATAAAAATAATGAAAAAAAGAAGTCGTCGGGTTGAACTTTTTACCATACAATGACGAGTGAGTCGAGACGAAGATTTCTAGATGAATTTAACAAAAATCAATGTCGTTCATCGTCCAATAACTCGAAGCAACAAACTATTTTGTTATTAATACTGTATTTTCTTTAAATGAAGTTTTCAGTTAACACTATTTCTACCGAAGGTGTCAAATGGCACCTGAAATTTTATCCTAACCCTTTGAACTCTGTAGGCTCCAATATTGCACCAGTTATAATATTAAATATTTTAATGAATCTTAGGAAACTACCCTAAAATTATTCGATTTTCCACACATCCGAATTTTGTACTAAGAAGGAAAATAAAAGATCGAAGAAATGTTATAGCATTTATAATTTTCGCTAGGAATACTATAAATATTATTTGCAGTTGCTGATAGATTAGAAAACAACCTAGTACCAAGGGTTAAAATTATTTTCCGAGTTTACTCGTACATTCTGAATTGACTTCTCGACTTTTCCAATGACGATTATAAAATTAACTACAGGAAGTGTTCAAAATTCAATTGAGGACAAATTATTAGTTAAAATAACTTTAAGTTAAAACTTCAAAAGATGACTTTTGACACGGTGGAAATAGCGTTAACACTCGAAGTAATACTTAACTGACTTTTTCAAATTTCTTTATAAAACTTCTAACTGTATATTTATTAAGATTTCAATTGGTTTATATTTCAGTGTAGGTATTACTAAAGCTTCATTAACACATTCACACCGGCACTGTAATTTTCACTTTTTCCCATTTGGCGACTGAATTCTCAAAATTGATAAAAATATTGAAATGATCAATAAGTAAATCAATTCTCAACTGTATGGCTATGTTTTTTAATTACCGCACCATTTGACGAGCCACATATTTCATGCTACACAACGTCTAATGAGCCATCAATGGTACACGCCGGCGTGAACGTGTTAATGATTTCTCAGAGAAGCATCTGTACCTTCTCAGTAATCGTATAAAAAGAAATCAGGAATCAAACTGACCCATCTGGTAGTTCTAGTGTTAAAATAGAATGGACGATTCTGTCGTTCCAAATCGTTGATAGTCAAATTTTACGCGAGCCTAGTAATTAATACGCCAAAAAAACTACACCAATATTCCAAAAAATGCTGTGGTAGAAAGAAGAATCGAGTTACAATAATCATCTGCGGTAGTTGCAATAAATCAGTATGCAAATAACATGACCACATTACATGGAATTCATGCAAGAATGACGAACGAAGCGAATAATAATGTAAAATCAATTTCATCAGTTTCTCTTTGTTCATTATCAATTATTATATCCATTTATGGTTATATTCCTACTAAACAGCATAATTCATCGAGATGATGTATTTTCTTGTCCCAGTACAATAATATATGCACTCAGCCACACAATGGTACATGTAGTGTACAGAATACTCGGGTAGTTAGGTGAAAATTCAGGGCGCGAGTAGTTAAAGGTCAACACATTGCGTACCAGAAACGAGAAATCTCGTTTTCATTTAAACCTATCGTAATTTTGCGAACTGCCACGCCATTTAAAGGAATATTCAATTTTATTAGAACCGATTACTTGTTCAATACTTATGAAATAATAAGATATTTGAATATTTCTCATATAGTGATGCATCACGAACTTATAAGTTGATCTCATCGAGAAATCGGCCAGTTTTCCAAGAATTAACCGGTACGCACTGTGTTAATCATCTGAAAACGATTTTTTTACATCTGTTACGACAACGTCGCCAGTAATTGCCAGTAATCCTGCACGAATGTTCCCAGCCCCGGTTTTCCGTTTCAAGCCGATGTCACTGACTCCTTATCGTCCGATCCGCAGACGTGCACCGGCTTCAATTAAATTCAATGAAATAATCAGCCTCGGTTTTTAAGCTCGGGACATAACGGTCCACCCGGCGCGGCGCGCCGCGGCGGCAGCCGCCATTCAGACAATTTGTAAGTTCTTGAAACTTTCCGCGGCGTTCCGGCTAATTTTAAAACCTTTCCCCGGCTACGTTTCCCAGTGTTTCGTCGGGCGACAGGCGCCACGGTGAAATCGGTGCCCGGATCATTGCCGGTCCACGATCCTCGGGTTAATTGGAATTTCTTCCATTGTACATTGTAACATCGAGCCGGACTCGGGATGAGGCGAAGCGGCGTGTTGTTTGATTTTTGATTAAACAGGGATTCAAAGATCGCTCAGTTTTTGTACGGTTTTTGCAGTATTGTTCGTGGTACCATTAACCTTTGCACTCGAGAGGCGAGCCATTTGGTTTGATACAGCAAAATTACAAAGTTCGATGTTGAATAGTAAATTTCGTTTAACGTAATTATCCATGACGTTAAAATAGAATTGTTCTATACCTTAATTTCTGTAATATTTATATTAATATTAATTATGAAACGTATCAGTGATATTTCATTAGGAAATGAGGAATATCTGGCGAAACAATTTTGAGTGCGAAGGGTTAACCCTTTGACTCTCACTCAACATTTGATTTTACACTGTAAAACTATAAAGTTTGATGTTTAATACTATAAATATCTCGTATAATGCGTCAATTTGAGGAATATTGAAATAAAATGGCTTTGTTCCTCAATGTACGTGTGATGTCTGCGAGTTCCACGAAATATCGTCTTTATCTCATCAGAAAATGTTGAAGTATTTCTAATGAAAAACTTCCGAGTGCAAAGGGTTAACACGTGCCGTGGAAATTTCGTCGATATATCACTTATGAACTGTATTGATTTTTTAAACGAAATATTAACCCTTTGCGAACGAATATCATTTCGACGAGATCAAATTTTCATATTTGAAACAGTACGTAGCAAACGATTTAATTACTCAAACGGCGAAAGATCAGTACGTAATTCCTCCTTTTAATTATTTAAACAATCGATATATAATTTAGCTTCATCTGCTAAAGGTTCCGAGTGTTCCAAAGAATCTTCGTCCGCGAAGGGTCAAGTTACACCGCAGTTTTTCGTACTTTCTATATATCTCGATATCGTTTCTTCACGTTTTCGGTGCCTCCTAACGTACACCATTCTCGCCATATGCCGCTTAAAAATATTTTCTCCTAAAAATTAGCATCCGCCATATGCGGCGCATGCACTGAATATATTAAAAACCGGAAGTTGATCGAAATAGCGAAGCCCTTCCCATTTCAAACGAAACCTCCCCGCTTACCGATCGCTACAAACCGCACCACAACACCGAGAACGTCCCAACTTTCGCGGAATCATCGACAACAGAACTAGTCGCGTCGGCCGCAATTGTGAACAGCTGATAAATAAACAAATCGTAGCGCGGGCGGTTAATTATTCAATGAACCAGCGCCGAGAACTGTTAATGTTTCACGAGCGCACGGTCTACGGCGAATTGTTTTTTCCCTCGTTTTTCCAGGAGTCGGGCGCAGGGGGACACACGCGGATCAATCGAGGCGAGTGTATCATTCGAAATTTGTACACACATGTCCGCCATAAAGTTCCACGCGTGTGTACGCACACGGACGGTGAACGACGGGGAACGGGTCGGCGCGAGGGTAGGGGGGAAGGCACGCACGCATGCCG